ACACTCAAAAGACGGGGTAACTCGACCTATCCTCAATCCCCGTAGTATCCTGGCAGCGTCTTCGGATCAATCACGATCGCGGGTCTGAAATAGTTTGGTTATACAACCATGAGAACACTTCTTAATAAGCAACTAGCTAAGCCTCGCTTAGGCCAAAGCGTACTTCCGAATAATTCTAAACATGCAATACCGACATCCAACATGTCATAACAATCACAGGCGCCCTTACCTCGCCCCTGCACATACGTGAGTCCAATTGCCCATCAAGCATGCGCAAAGCAATTCATGGCATGATCCAGCATAACATGGTTAATAATCCAGACGTGCTCATCAATTAACTCAGACAAAGCATTCCCCAATGCAATTCACACTCATTAAGTCAAGATTATTAACGACCCCTCGGGCCACCGAACTCCCGCCGGTCTTCTGGCGTAACCAGGCATCGTCCCACTACTTCGGCGACGGCAACGTCCGGAACCCCCGCCCAGACGGCATTCCATAAAAGAGCATCGATCCGGCCTCCACCGCGATCGGCAACGTCTAGAACTCCCGCCTAGACGGCATCCGAGCCCCCGTCGGGCATCGTCTAGAACCCCCGCCTAGACGGAACGTGTCGTGACCATGCACACACTCAACAACCATTACCGATTCTTATCTTTATGAATTAACCAAATACCAACTAAGTCTATACTCATTAATTAAAAAGCCTCGCCTTTCTTTTGTAACACAATCTCCAAAAAGTCCCCGAGAGAGAGAAAAACCGAGTACGCACAGAATCAGGGCCAAATTGGGCAGTTGTGCAGTGACCGAAATCCTTTTTAAATAAATAATAAATAAACTCCAAAAATTCTAAATTTTGGATATGTCGTATAAAACATCTTGATAAACATTTTCCGTGAAGAACTCAAAACCCAGTTCCAACTGTAAACACCTCTTTTTGTCACTTGAAGTCAGACGAAATTCAACCCATCCGTTCAGGCCGCCTGACCATCAAAATGCATCTCATCCAGTACCCAAATCACATTGAAAAGCCTTGAAATTTTTATATGTCATAGAAACGAATGTTCTTAACAATTTTTGTGAAGAAAGTTTTTTGAAAAGAGGTCTGGAAAAATTTATAGAAAATCGGAAAGACCAGAAGGTCGGGTGAACAGTAAATCGGGCAGACTCAATTCGGTCCAAAAATGGACTTACGAATGGCAATAAATGATCTCCAAAAATTCCAGATTTAATATATGTTAAAATTCAAGATGTTATGAACAATTTTCACCAAGAACATTTCCTCAAATTCTTCCCACACAAGTCACAATAAAAATAGTAAAATCCAGCGACGCAGCAGCAACCTTACCGGAAATCAACCAACAAGCACCACCAAGCAAACCAAGCACAACCAGCCACTAAACCAACTATCCACAGCCCTAATCCACCCCTAAACATGTCCATTAGTAGCCCATTATCCTAACCAAAGCTTAGGGAGCACTTACTCTTAGCCTAAGCAAGAAAACCGAGCAACGGGAGCAATAGAGAGCCTCGGCACGGCAATGGCTATTCCGGCGAAGCAACGGCGAGGGCGGACGGCGGATGACAGCTCAGGTGGTCGGTGATGGTGTGAGGGTGATCGTGGGTGGTGGCGATGGCCGAGTGGTGGTGACGTGAGGCGGATGGCGAGCGACGAGGCTGGAAAACAGCCGGCGACAGGAAACTTCGGGGCTGCTGGGGGCGGTGTTGCACGGCCAGGGAACAAGCTGGGGTGATGGGGTGGTGTGGTGTACGGCGGTGGATGGTCCCGCGAGGAAATGGTCTGGTCAGCGTGGCAACAAGAATAAGCAAGAAGCAGTGAGGCAAGCAGAAGCAGAAACAGAAAAGCCAGCAGAAACAAAAGTGAAGAAGACCAAGAAGAAAGAAAGGAAAAGGAAAAAGGAGAGAGAAGGAGGAGTTGGTCAGCAGCAAGGGGACGTGGGGGTGCAGAAGAGTCAGCGGTAGCAAGCAGAAGCAATCAGCAGAGCAGCAACGTGATGGAGAGGAAGTCAGCAAAGCAAAGGCGGAAGTCAGCAGAACAGAGGCATGGCAGCAGCAGCAAAGCAGAGGCAGCAGCAATGTGGGGGTCAGCAGCAACGTGGGGAGTCAGCTGAAGCATGGGGGAGTGATGATGGCTGGTGGAGTTGGTGGAAGAAGTCAGCAGCAGCAGCAAAGGCAGAAACAACGGGCCCAATTCCAAAAAAAAGCACGAACTTTAGGTCTTGTCCCAAATCTGGCCCAAACTTTATTTTGTCTAAAAAAAAATCACCAACTTTCAACCGTGTCCCAAATCTGGCCCCTGTTAACTCTCCATCCACTCTCACCGTTAGTCATCCGACATGGCTTTTCCACGTTAGCAATAATATCCACGTCAGCAATTAAGGCACCACCGCAGCAATAAAAGCAGATGTACACCTGGGCTGCACTTTCTCTTCTTCATCTCCTTCGCACGATTTTCTCTTTAGGGTTTTCTTTCTTCTTTCTTCATCCGATACACAAGCGAGAGGCTTCGATTCGTCCGAAGATCTCGCGCGCTCATCCTCTCACACGAAGTCGCTCGCTCTCACGCTCGGCCGTTTAGAGACTTGTTTCCATCTGGAATTTTGAAGATCTCGTGCACGTTCGGTCAAGATCAAACGAGCAAAATCTCGCGCGCTTGGTCGCTCAGAGACATCAACTTGTCTGAAGAGCGAGCGAGCGAGTGAAGATCTCGCGCGCTCGCTCACTCGCTCATCCTCTCACACGGAGTCGCTCGCTGTCATGCTCGGCCATTTAGAGACTTGTTTCCATCTGGAATTTTGAAGATTTCGTGCATATTTGGTCAAGATCAAGTGAGCAAAATCTCGCACGCTTGGTCGCTCAGATACATCAACTCGTCTGAAGAGCGAGCAAGCGAAGATCTCGCACGCTCGCTCGCTTGCTCATCCTCTCACATGGAGACGCTCACTCTCGCACGTACTCGCGCTTGTTCGCTTGAAGGATGCTCGCTTAAGGGTTAAAGAGGACAGAGTGTTGAAGTCATTAAACAGAAGGTATTCTTCTTCTTCTTTCTCCCATGCATTTGGACATATTAAATTACGATCACCATGTGCTTAATGGTTTGTCTAGTAGTGATTTATCTCACAAAAACTGAAGTCAGTGCTACATCCGAGTGTTTAGAGGAAGTGTTAAATTTAAGTCTTCCCTCTAGTGAGGTGAGATGATTCTCATGGGAAAATTCAGTAGCTTTAGTTCTATAGATAGGGCCATTAGATCAATTAACAAGCTGTTTACAATGTCAGAAGTTGAGTTGAAAGACTGTGTTCAAGCGAGATATTGAAAGTGTGTGCATCTTGTAGTTAAATAGAGATGTGAAGCCTATTTGTGATAGCCTTACTACATTCATTTTTAAAGAGACTTTGAGTACAGAAAAGGAATTCTTCTTCTTTTTCCTCCTAATCTATTGGAAGGCATTGAACTGAAGGTTTAGTTCAGAAGGTTATGTATTTCAAATGTGTTCTCTAGCTGTGGGTTGTCACGTGTTTAGATATTAGGAGCCATAACTTATTTTTTCTTTATAATTTCTGATCAATAAGCTGTTGTTTTGTGAAACTCTTTTCCTAATGTGAAGTGTGTCATAACTGCTTATTATGCCATACAATTACTAAAGCTATTGTTGTCTTACTAGGTATTTAATTAGTGCGATGAGTTCAACATTGAACTTCAAATGTCCAATTTTTTATTCTATTTTGTTTATAGGATTGGGCCGGTTGGGGTTCCAGGTCACCATCGTTTTGCTAGTGGAAAATTGAAGTGTTGTCGATTGAATAAGTAACAATGGTGAGTTCATTCAATTGTTGGCCTTTCATTTTTAAATATTGTTTTTAGTTTCCAGTGTATGACTTAGTGTGTTTGTTCACAGAATGAAAGTGACAGTGACGATGGTTCATTAGACTTGTGTGATGATGAAATAAATATATCAGATGACGAAGAGATTAGAACGAGGGAGATGAGGAAAGATTTTAGGGAAGCAATAATTGAGGAGGTAGATGATGGTGGAGACCTGGCTGAAGGTTCCATCGATATAAGAATGGAGGAGGAGCACGAAGGTGGGGATGATGATGAAGATGCAATATCGGATGATGAACCTCTAAGTGGTCCCGATATTGATAATTTTGAAGAAGTTAGTGGCACAACTGGACGAATTGTTAATAGGTATGATCCTATGTGTGACCATAACGAGAATGTGTTTAGTCTAGGTATGAGATTTGAATCTCATGAACAGTTCAAGATAGCTGTGCAAAAATATGAGGTAATTAATGGATTTAACATTTTTTGGCAAAGGAGTCAAAAGAAAAGAATGGAAGCAAAGTGCGTGAGTGGCTGTGGTTGGAGGTTGTATGGCAGTTGGGTTCAAAATGAGAAAACTTTTGTAATAAAGAGAGTTGGAAATCCACATAACTGCAATAGAAGTCTTACAAATAGGCAAGCCACTTCTACATGGCTTGCTCGTGAGTACATGCCTAAGATTAGAGCCAGACTCACTTATTCGGCTACCGAAATGCAAGCAGATGCAAGAGAAAGATTTGCCCTGACCCTTGATAAAAAAAAATGTTACCGAGCCATATGGAGAGCTCTTAGTTGTATAAGGGGGCCGATAGGGAAGCAATATGATATACTAAGATCTTATTTGGAGGAGCTCAAGAGAGTTAGTAAAAATGGAAGATTTGAGATGGAGGTTAACCCAGAAACCAAAGTATTTGAGAGGTTTTATGTGGGCTTTGATGAGTTGAAAATGGGCTTTTTAGCAGGATGTAGGCGTGTGATAGGCTTGGATGGGTGCTTCCTTAAGACTGGATTGAAAGGTATGTTGTTATGTGCCGTCGGACGAGATGGAAACAATCAAATGTTTCCAATAGCTTGGGCAGTTGTGGAAGTTGAGTCTGAGGCATCGTGGACTTGGTTTCTCGCTCGATTATTTATTGACTTGAATGTGGATTATTTATTGACTTGAATGTGGACACAGGCGAAGGCTGGACTTTTATTAGTGATCAACAAAAGGTAATATGTCACATTTGTCTTCATTGGCTATTACACTATATTGGTACAATCATTGTTGTGACCTGTTTGTTTTTCATTGGTTTATTTTGGTTGTAGGGACTAATGAATGCAGTTTCATGGCTATCTCCACAAGCAGAGCATCGAAATTGTGCAAGACATATATATGCTAATTGGAAAAAATTACACAAAGGGGATGCTTTGAAGAATCTCTTCTGGAGGGCTGTGAGGTGTACATTTGAAGCTGATTTTGACCTGGTAATGGCATATTTGAAGATGGAGTGTCCTAAAGGTTATGAAGACTTTATGAGACAAGGCCCTAAGCACTTCTGCAGGGCTTTCATTAAGACAGGTACCAAGTGTGATGCGGTTGAAAATAATTTAAGTGAGACCTTTAATGGATACATTTGCATATCGAGAGCAAAACCCATTCTTGAGATGCTTGAAGAAATACGAGCTATGTTGATGGAGAGAATGACAGAGAGAAGCCAGTTAATGGTTGATCAAATAGATCCAATTTGTCCAAGGATTAGAATGAAGTTTGAGAAGACTAAACTTGAGTCCAGGTATTGTTTTGCTAGAGCGTCTTTGGGAAATAAATTTGAGGTTGAAGGGGATGGCAATAGATTTGTGGTTGACTTGGCTGGGAAGACCTGTGCTTGTAGAAAATGGGATATCTCTGGTATACCATGTAGACATGCCATATGTTGCATTGCTTTCATGAAATTAGACATCAATGATTATGTTGATGATTGCTTTAAGAAAGAAGCTTATGAAAAATGTTATCAATTTCCCTTCCTGGTCATGAATGGGGAAAAAATGTGGCTCAAAGTCAATGGTGAGCCAATCAAATCCCCACCTTACAGAAGGAAAAGGGGTAGAGAGAAGAAAAATAGAATCAAGGATAAGGATGAGCGAAGTGGAGACGGCAAGAAATTGACGAAAGTTGGAGTTCAAATGCGATGTTCAAATTGCCTTCAATATGGGCATAACAAGAAGACATGCAAGAATCCCACGACATCCAGGCCACCCAAAGTATGTCTTATTGGACAATTTTGTAATTGTCGATAAGATTTTTGTTGGGTTATCACAAATGATATCATTGGTATTTCTTGTCTTTTTTCACATGTATGCAAGAAGAGGAAGACCAAAGAAAACTGATGGGGCTAGTGGTGCGCAAGCTAGTTCACAAGCTAATAGATCATCTAATGGGGACTCCACTATCATTAGGAAGGAGAGAGCACAGGCTAGTGCTTTATCAAGCATAATTTTATTTTCATACCACGTGTATATTGTGATTAATGTTTGATACTCATTTTGTTTCTTTAAGCTAGACAAGGATATGGACTTTTTATATTTGAAGCTACTGGGAATTCCTATTTAAGGGTAATCTATGTCTAATGTTTTATATGTGTGTCAAAAAGAAAAGCTAAGTTCGTATGTTTATTTTTTTTATTGTGGATGCCGGGTAGTGATAGAGTTATTGACATTGGAGGTCCATCCATTTCCAAGGGACAAACAAGAGCAAGGAATTTTGTTGAAGTTTCACTAGGCCAATCTTCTACTGATATCACAGAACCTCCATGTACTCAAGAATCTGGAATTGGTGGTTAACTGTGAAATTATGGACCCAAAAATGCTTGTGCAGTGCCTTCTACTAGATGTTGAGTTGTAGACTGAAAAGTGCTAGTTTTTTGTTGTTTGTAAGTAGATTTGGCTATGCATTATGTGTTTGGGGATTTGGCAATGTCATTTTGTATATGTGATGTTTTGGCTATGCAGTATGTGTTCGGCTGGTTTGGAAAGCTTGCCAAGAAATGAGACAGAACTTGGAACGTTTCGATTTTGCAAATTTAGATTTTGCAACATGTAGGTAGCGTATATAGAAAGAGTTTATTTTCAAGAACTTGTAGAAGATTATAGCATGATATTTTGGGATATATATTTTGTTCACAGGTAGATTCCATAAAAGATGGTGGCATTAAAGAGGAACGTCCTTTCACAAAACAGCAGCATTTGCTTTCATCCAAATCTGCATAATCCTTATCACTTTAAAATAAAAATGAAATGGGATAGCATTCGCTTTCCTGATCCTGACCCTAGAGAGAGAGAGAGAGAGAGAGATATGGGTCATATAAAGTCTTGAGGTGGTGGATGCAGTTTCAAATTAGTGAACCGAGCTTGGTAAGACCAATGCCTATTGCCTACAATTACTCCATCCTCGTATGCCGACAATGCCAGCTTCTTTCTTAGTCATTTGATATTTCTAAGCAAAAGGTGTTGTGTAATGCTAAAACGATTGATTTTCCTATGAATTTTCTACATCTTAGCAAGACTCCACGATACAAGGTTTTGATGCAGATGTAAAACAAGATCGTTTCTTTAGATCGGTCCGTTTACAGGTAATTGACAATATCAAGTATCCGAAATGGTTCTATCCATGCATTTGTAACTCTGGCCTGAATTTTGGTTGATAGGGTCTGTTCTTGTATGCATGTAAGTCACATGTCTTAGCCATGTACTGCATAAACTGTTGCAGATGGTACCACATTTGAGGAAAAAAAAAACTCAAACTCTTGCTGCGACTCTATCGTCTTCAAGTTCAGAACTTGTTGAAACCCAATTAATTTTTTTTTCTCCTTTTCCCCTTTCTTTCGGTGCAAAATACAAGCCCAGTTTGCGAGACATACCTGTTCGCTTCTAACTTAATAACATAATCCAATGACCAAAATGTCAAAGCAACAAAGGCAATAAAGAACCAGCCAGGAGATTCAGAGCCCTTTATGCAAGAACAAACTCAAACAGAGACATCGATGCAACTCCTGCAGAAATGCTGTGATCAATTTAACCGACTTTGTTCAAGCTGTGACATATCTCGGCTCACCCCTCCACATAAGCCCAACAAACGAATATTATTCGCCAATGTAAAATGAATCACCTAGCATATTCTCCAAACTGTCAGGAACATAACCTAAATTAGAGAATTTACAAACATCCTAACCTAATCGAGATGGCAGCTTTGTTACATTAAATGGGTCACTATTTCAATTTAAACACTTCTAAATCCTTTACTCTACTCAGACAATTAGCTTGATGCCAGTAATATGAGGCCTTGATCTGATGTTAGCAACAGCTCTTCCCAATCAGCAACCCAATAACAACCATTATGTTCACTTTGGTGCATCATTAGCAACTGGAGATACTGGTTCTTCCCGACATAAACATTATCAGATGGAAACTCCAGCAGCTGAGTTTAATCTAACACATCCTCTCTTTCAAATGAATGCATTAAGTCTATCACAAATAGGCTTCACATCTCTGTTCAACTGCAAGATGCACACGCTTTCAATATCTCGCTTAAAGGCAATATGGTCTTCTGCTTCCAACTTAGCTTCTGACATTGTGAATAACTTGCCAATTGTTAATTGATCTAATGGCCCTATCTACGGAACTGAAGCTGATGAATTATTTTTCATCACTAGAGGGAAGACTTAAATTTAACACTTCCTCCAAACACTCGGATGGAGCATCGTTCTGCAAGATAAATCAACTGACTTCAAATTCCATGAGATAAATCACTTCTAGACAAATTATCGAGCATATGATGATCGTAATTTAATATGTCCAAATGCATAGGAGGAGGAAGAAGAATAATACCTTCTGTTTAATGCCTTAAACACTCTGTCCGCTTCGACGCTTAAACGAGCATCCTTCGAGCGACCGAGAGCGAGTATGTCCGAGAGTGAGCATCTCCGTGTGAGAGGATGAGCCAGCGAGTGCTCACTCTTCAAACGAATTGATGTCTGAATTGATCATCACTCGAGCACGTGCGAGATTTTGCTTGCTCGCTCTTCAGACGAATTGATGTCTTTGAGCGACCGCTCGCTTGCTCTTCAGACAAATTCACATATCTGAGCGACCAAACGGCCGAGCGTGAGAGCGAGCGACTTCGTGTGAGAGGATGAGCGAGCAAGATCTTCGGACGAATCGAAGCCTCTCGCTCGTGTATCGGATGAAGAAAGAAGAAAGAAAACCCTAAAGAGAAAATCGTGCGAAGGAGATGAAGAAGAGAAAGTGCAGCCCAGGTGTACATCTGCTTTTATTGCTGCGGTGGTGCCTAATTGCTAACGTGGATATTATTGCTGACGTGGAAAAGCCATGTCAGATGACTAACGGTGAGAGTGGATGGAGAGTTAACGGGAGCCAGATTTGGGACACGGTTGAAAGTTGGTGATTTTTTTTTGGACAAAATAAAGTTCGGGCTAGATTTGGGACAAAACTTAAAGTTTGTGCTTTTTTTTGGAATTGGGCCTTTCTGGGGAAGAGCAGCGGGGAAAGAGGAGGAAGTCAGCGGCGTGGGGCAGCGGCGACGTGGGGGAGGAGAGAGAGAGAGAAGAGAGAGAAAGTCAAACGCACTTGAGTGCGATCCGACGATCCTCGTTCAAATCCGAAAACGATCCAACGGTCCACGAAAAATCCTAAAAATAATAATTAGGAAAAAGGCCAAAAGATAATAACTAAAACACACTACAAGAGAGGTCTACTAGTCCAAATTCGCATCCGGTCCAAATTTTATTTTTCACTTATCCCGGGCAATATTGACGCTGGCCACAATAATATCGACACCGTCCAATTAAATTCGTCACGAAACTCCGAGAAATTCGACACCAAAGTTCGGGCTCTAAATAACGGCCAAATTCGATCGAGTACGATTCTAGCAAAATCTCTAATTTAAAAAAAAAATAACCCAAAAGTGATCAGTTCCGGGCGAGATTTTATTATAAGCGCACTGACGAATTACACATTTTATAAATTCTCAAAAATGGGTCGAAATTCAGAATGTCACATTGAAGATGTATGAATGATGAATAAGCTGACTTGAGCATGTCTTAGGTATAGTTGAATGATGAGCTTAATATGTTTGATGATTTGCTAGTTGAAACTTGTTGGAAAATTCGAAGTCTGTTTTAACCTCCCTCTGTTCATTGATTTTTACGGGGGAAATGGCTAACAATTAGAAAAACTTGTCTTCACATGAATTGTAGTTGAGAAATTGCTTTAATTTGATATAAGTTTCATGAAATTTGAAAATCATTAAGGTTGTGAAAATCGAGTTCAAAAGTACCGTAATAATTTGGAGTCAGATTGGAAATTTGGTCTCAGCGTCCACTAAAGAAGCAAATGTGTTCTATATACATACATATATATATATATATATATTATTAAGCTCATCATATATATTATATATATATATAACTGCATGCCATAAATCAATCACGGATGAGGATTTTTTTCCATAATCCGGCATTTTTGGAAGGTGATTAATTAGTTTAAATACGAAAAATCAAAGAATTGAGAAAATATGGATAACAATCAATCATTCATTGTGATCAATGGCTTCAACCAAACACAGAGGTAGAACACCGTATATATTTAGAATAATAAGAGGCAAAAACCTGCATATGTAAACGAAGTACAATCTTAACTTTTGGAAAAATTTCCATTTGAGTATCAAAGAACCAACAGAACAATCATTGTTAACAATTGGGCGATGTACGGCAGCTCAAACGATATTGAAGATTAACTTATAAATAATAGAAACGTCTTAGTACGACAATGAAGCATGGAATTATAAAATGGCATACTTAAGAGGATTTCATTAAATACTAAGAATACAATTTCAGAAATCAACACAAAATTCTCATCATGAACAGTGTCCCTCATTTACATAGTGGTTCCATCCATTTGATGCACCTGATTGACACTCTAATATGTGCTTTGCTACCTTGATGAGCCTAACATGCCATAGTAATACCATAAAAGGCGATTATGAGAATATTGTCAATGGCTAGCTATCTTCATTAGAGCAATGGATAAGATAACCCACAAGTTTAAGATAATTGTGGGCATTAAAGTTATTTCACGTTCATTTATGCATGAGATCATGTAATGTTGAGAAGGTGAATAATGTCAACTTTTGTCACAACCTCCCCATAAACGGTGGACCCACCTAGGGGATTGGCTAATGGAATACTAAGTTTGCTTTTAGCTCAGGCTCTCTTAAACACATACCAATTCGCAACTTGGTTCAAGTTTTTTTAACATGCAAATCAATTTCATTTTGGAGTCTCTACTAATCTATTTTTGGTAGATCGATTAAAACTCAAGTAAAGTGTAAGAGAGTACTTTGCTTTTACAAATTAGAGATTAAATGGATTCAGGGACTTCATTATTGTAACACCCCAAATTTCGATGTAATTTCCGGGATCAATGAAACTGATATTATTTCGCATTTCATTTTAGTAAGTCTCACCCAGAGCTGATCACTCCCGGGATACTAACCAATAGGGTATGGCTAACTAGAAGA